CTTTGAACCCAGTAGGGAGGGGAAGGAGAAAAGGAAAGAAAAGGAGAAAAAAAAGAAATTTTTATTTATTAAATTATATTTTTGGTGCCAAGTCACAATATTTTGAAGTTCGAGGAAAACTGAAAGTTAAAGGACTGAATCTAGGATTTAACCTTTTTTTTTTCAAACCTTTAGTTAGCGGTGGGGCCCACAAAAAAATTGGCAGCAAGTATACTTCCCGCTCATGGGGTTCCAAGTTGGCATGCCAGGTTGTAAAAAATTCTGAGTTGGCGCTGATATGCGCATACTTGACGGAGGCCAACGGTGCACGTGCTACACGTGAGTTCCGGCGTTAAATTTTTCCTCATTTCCTCAAACTCGAAAACATTGAGGGTAAAAATCCATGTATTTTAATATGGAGGGTAAAAATCCTACAAGTCGAAAAGTTCAGGGGCAAATGGGTACCTTTTGCCGGTATGGATATATCTGATATTTGTAGGTATCTGATTTATTTGGATATATACTTTACTTGTATATGTAAAGTAAAGAGACAGTTAAATATTAGATATAAAAAATTCATATCTATTAAATATCAGGCAAGTATTGGATATGGCATTAATAGCTACATATATAATCTAATCTGATTTGATCTGATGTGTATATTTGACTTATTTACCTAACTTTTATACTTGATTTATATACCTAATTCATATATCTAATTATATATTTATAATACTTTATTAATTAATTATAAAAATATCATTTCAATTTACAATTTATACAAAAGTTATTTAATTATAAAAGATTTTATAATATAATGATTATATTCTAGTTTTATATGTTTAATTTATAATATAATATTATAAAATTAAAAAAAATATTTTTTTTTTGTTCTAATAGTGAAGATTCAACTAAAAGAAAATCATGTGAATTTTGTTTGCATTTCTTTTGTTATTATATATAAACTTGTGTATGTATCAGCGTATACATTCATATATTTTGATTTATATATAAACTTATATTATATGTATAAACTTAAAATTGTATATTAATTTATGTATTTTTAACATAAAATTAAATAAATATATAAATATACCTATAGATATATCTGTATTCAACAAATTAAGTAACAAATATAAATTTTCATCAGCTAGATAAGTATTGAATATTGAAATCTGATATCTATCGCTGCTGAATTCAAGTATAGGTATG